ACATTGATTATAAGTGGCCTGTACGGATACCTACATTTGCTGTCTTTGCACTTGACCACTTGTCTGCTTACTACTTTATTGCATATTAAGGGCACTGATCGAGCTTTGGTATTTTTCTGACTTGGCATAATCTTATACTTACTTTTTTTCCTGTCACATGCACATGCTCTCAAGTGGCCAAGACTGCAAATGTGCGTGCGAGTAAGTCGTTGGATAATTCGCCCAACCAATTGGCTCAAAAACATTGATTCATTCAAAAATGAAGCACAACTTCAGAGATGTGCATGGTTAATTCTGTTTTGGCTTCTCCTGGAGCTATTTTCATTGTTGGAACAAAAATATGCAAATTATTTTGCTGTGTCTAAATTGTAAGTTAGTTAATAATAACTACTTGTTTAATGAGCTGATACTGCCCAACATCTCAGAGCAGCCAGCTGCTTTTATCTTAATTCATAAGGCAGATGAACAGATAGTTGTCTTGAATGAGACTTGGCGAAACAAGGGAATAACTGACTTCATTTATTATGCAAATCAAACTCCATCTAAAGACTCCACTCAGGAACACTAATGCACGTATTATGTTTGTTGTGGTATTAATTCCCCGTTTTAGACATGAGGTTGATGGCTTTAGAGTCTCAGGAATCCACGTGCAATTTTCTTTATTTATATTTCATTTTTTGCTCTTCATATCAAACTGATGCGTCATGATGCCTCCAGCAGAAAAAGATAAAAATAAGACAAATTCTTCAGAGAGTTAGAAACACAAGTAAAAACATTGTTTCTCTCCTAAGTGAAGATCAATGCAATAAAACTGTTAATCTCTCCTTAGTTTGCACTGACAAGACTGATGTCTTATAAAAGGTTATTGTGCCTTGTCTCTAATTGAAGGTAAGACTCACATGGAGAATGGACATGACATAAGGATTGAGAAGGACAGACAGACCATTTCTCATTTCTGACAGCAGCAGAAGCTCCACACCTTCTCTTCTCATCGTCCTCAGGTCACTCGCCACACACATAGACAGAGAAAAGCTGTTCAAAAAGAGCCTCAAAGTCACAGAAGTCTCAAAGTCATCGTTTGTGTCCTGTGTATGAGGACATGTAAGCGAGTGTCAGCACCGATATTATCTGGACTGATCTGGATAATATTTCTCTCATCAGTGCTGTGAGGCAGAGCAGGTCATTCAGTGTCTGTCTGCACATCTTGTTTTATTTCATATACGCCGCCGTGTCGTCGTGAGACATTTCTGAACCGTTGCTTACGTTCATCTTAATGAAATATCGACTACTGTTGTCACATGGATATTAAAAACTTCATCCTCATCATGACTCACTCTGAGATAAGAAGGATGACATTTTCCCATTTATACAGTGACACGTTTAAGAACAGTTTAAGTGCTGAGGAAAATAAAAAGTTTTCTGTTAAACTAGAGGTTAGTTCTGTCCATATTTCTTCTTTTCTTGCTTGAAGAGACCAAAGTCAGCCTTAATAAGACGTGTGTGTGTGTGTGTGTGTGTGTGTGTGGCTGTCAGAGCACACAGGTGAACTGTGATGTGGTTACTGAAGCGTTTCTTTCCTCCAAATGAAGCTCCTTCACTACAAACTGTACCTTTGCAAAGAAACAATTTCATATATATGTGTGTGTAACTGTGTGTATTTATGTTTCTGTATGTCCTCTTGTCATCTTAACTAGTGTTGATGCACCTTGAATTTCAGTTAAGGGTCTCAGAAGCCTCAGAATATCCAAGATATCCCATAGAAAGCCATCCTGCCATCACAATAAACATAATGCACAATGTTTCTTTTCTACAAAATCTGAAGAAGATTTTCCAGGCCTTTAAGAGGAAATGGCCCTAAATGTGGCCAAGGAGCAGCACGTGCTCTGCTGTGAGTAAATGGTGCGTAAATGTCAGTGTAACTGGGGGTTGGAGTGCTGGGGAGGAGTATGGGCAGCTTCACATTGAGATTGATCATTTTAAAGCTGTATTTTATTAAATAAGGGCCAGATAATTGAATATTCCAGGAAAGGAAAACGGGAAGAGCTGTTTGAGAAATGATGGTTGGCCGCTGATGTCTGTTTGGTTTTAATGGGAACACTTTAGCTGGCTGGAGCAGGTCCAAAAGCAGTGCTCCTGAACTTCTGCCAGGGTGAAATGTAAAATACAGGGTTTCCACAACAGGAGATTCAGAACAAATGAAGGAAATGCTCTCCTCTTCACATTTCACGCACATCATGCAAGTAAAGGTCAACAGGTCTGCATGTTTTAATGCTCTTTTGCATTCTAAATGAAGTGTTTAATGAACTGATTATTGTAGAAAATTATGTGTGCTGTCAAACTCACAATAATTGTAATCTCTGACTGTGTCAATGAGCATTTACCTCATGTTTTGTGCAGTCTTTATTGTGATATACATGTATCCCACAGTGAAAGCTGTTGTAGGTTAGAGGCAGTTCAGTAAGCTTTCTTGTGTAACTTATGAACAGGGGTACATGTCAGAATTGATGTGAGCCATTTAAAATTCTGCCTGTATCTTAATCGTCATTACTCCCTTGACAGGGTAGTAATAAAGGCTGGACTGATACATGACTGCTTTTAGTTTGACCTCCTCTTATGTGTGTGTGTTTTTTTTTATAACATGCAGTAATGCTTTTTCTATTAAAATGAATGCTGGTATGAACAAAGACACTGAAACATTCCTGTGAGAAGAAGCTTCTCTCCTTTGTCTTTGTGTAATTTCCATATCTAAAGCAACCGGGAGAAAAATGAATGGGGAACAGCTGTAAGAGTAGACTAAAATGTCATTTTTTACTTTTGTTAATTTTTTTTATTTTATTTTAATTGTTTATTTTAATGAAAATTCGGCACGTTAAAGAAAATTATTTCATATTATAAGTCACCTTTCAAGACACAAATTCACTTAACTTAATGTGAAAATAATCACTTTGTTTAAATTAAAGTACATTACATAAAAATGACAACAGGTGTGCACACAAATACCAGACAGCACGAAAGAATCACGTTTGAAAACAGAAGCAGAAACGCGCTATCTGGCGGTGTTTGTGCTGTGGTATACTTGGTGGCATGCGCTCTGTCAAATAGAATCAGTTTATATTAAAGACTAATAAAGTAAGTAGTTACTAACTAACACTGTAAATCAGTGTTAATTATGTGTTAAAATACATAATCGTGTATTTACAGTTCAAATAAACTTTATTTGTTTGAGTATCTGGTCAATGAAGTTCAGTGAGACACAAATTCGAAATTATGACAATTTTTTAATCCTAATTTTGATGTCATACTTATGACCGTTTATCTAATAATTTAACATTTTTATTTCATAATTATGTAAATATGTTAGTTAGACTTAGTTTTTTTACTTTTTGAGTCATAATGATGATTAACCACAGCATATTTTATGAGGCAGAATGGGCTCCCATATAATTTTGACATTATCTTATATAAGCTAGTAGTATTTGTCATGACTTTTTATCTTATAAGTTTTACTTTTTATGGTTGACTTAGTATCTCATATTGTGACTTTTAAGTCATAATTATGACTTTTTATCTGATAATTTTGACTTTTCATGTCATAATTTCAGATTTTTATTACATAATTATGACATACAGTATCATATTTTCGACATCAAAATTAATTTAAAGAATATATATGTTGAACATAGTTTAAGAGAACAAGAATCAACTGAAGATTCACATCACGCTCACAACCGATTCTGATCAAATGCAAACATCTTCTTTATGCATTCACTGCACTGTAATTTTAACTTTACCTGAAAACAGAAGACAATATTAAAATACAGTGCATCAGAATGCATGTGCGCATTACATGGTTAAGGCCATGCTAGCCAGCCAAACCTCGACCCCTTGATTCCAAAAAACAGAGCAATGCTGAAAGTGCTGCAGAGACGAAGTGTTTACAGTCCTCAGGTGTTGCTTATCTGAAGAAGATCTAGACTAGCATTAAGTCGACTCATCCTTTATTTTGTATTTGACTCTTTATTTATTTATCTTGATTTTTCTCATTTTATGCAGGTAGCACTGAAATAGCTGAATGTTGTTTATACATAAACAGTGCACACTTTCATGTCATTTGAAACTTTGTGTTAGATCAGTATCTTAATTACGATGGACTCCCAGTATTCCCAGGACACTTCATACCCAATAACCAGCTGATGTTCTGTCAGAGATTATATTTCAAAAACAAGACAACCTGTACAAACAAGATCATGACAAGTACAATGAGTAATAAAAGCTTCAACAGAAACTGGGTCAAGAGGTCGTTATTTAGCACACATTTTGTTTTCCAAGCAAGAAAACAGAGGGAATATATATTTATAACATATTATTGTAATATATAATAATATAATTCAAAATGTCAATGCAAATATATTACAAGTAATACTAAAACAACACTGGCATTGCATCCGAATGCAGTGTTTGTATAACTTCCGTTCTACTTACATAACTTCATCTGGTCGGTTTTTATAGGTATAGCACAACAACAAAAAACATGTATTTGAAATATATAATGAATTCACATCTTTTTTCATTTCATTTTCAAATATTTTTGATTTAATTTCAATTTATCATTCATTTTGACTGAGAAACAAGCTGTGTTTTCATTACATACTGGCTTTAATTTGTTCTTTAATTTCACTTGTTATAGATCATTAGACATGCTGTTATAGTGCATTGAAAGTTTCTTAAAACCATTTTCCTAGAAAGACTTGGAATCTGGGATAGCATGGGAATACCCTCTGGTAATGAAAAACTGCTGATGAGGTCAACCCATGTAGTTTGACCAGTTTCAAGCTGTAAACTGCAGAAGGAAGGTTCCAAAAACAGGAGGAGACAAACATCACTGTTTGATCTCATTTCATTATTGACTCGAAGCCTCTCAGAAATACATGCACCGCTCTCACCATAGCTTTTTTCCGCACACGCACACATTTTCTTTCTCTGCTCATTAAGCCGGCAGCATGAGGCAGCGAACAGTGGTGATGTACGTGGAGATCGGTTGCTTTGTGTCCTGTCTGTGTGGCTGGGTTCTGAATTGTTCCACTCTGGCCACTGAGTACTGGGTCATCTCAGAAAGTGCGTCTGTGGTTCTCAGCGCCGGTGATTACTATTCCAACCTCTGGATGGACTGTGTCGCAGACACCACAGGAGTATCTGACTGTAAATACTTCCCCTCCATGATGGACCTGCCTGGTGAGGAAAAAAATCTGGCCTTATTTCATGATTTCATGTTACTGCAGGATCATTAATAGTATCTCTCTCTCTCTCTGGTATGTTAGTTTTCCTCCATGTAAGCAGGGCCCTGGCTGTCGTCTCTGTGATCTTTGGCTTCTGGGGGGCTGTTCTCGCTCTTATTGGGATGAAATGTACCAAAATCGGAGGCTCTGAGCTCGCCAACGCCAGAGTTACATTTGCAGCAGCGTTGACATACATGGCATCTGGTACAAACCTTCCTTCATTAACATTTTTGCATAACGCATAAATTGAGTATCATAAACTGATGTGTTGCTGTGTCTGTTTTGCAGGATTTTGTGGTATGATAGTGTACTCCTGGTGGGGAGAAAAGGCACGCTCAGAATTTGTGGATCCATATTTCTTAGAATTAAAGTACGTAAATGTTACTTTTATTTTGGTCATACTGTATGTCTAATTTTGAAAGTTATAAGTGCTTCGCATTTCTACTTGTGTAATTTTTTTTATTTTTTATTAGTGATTGACTAATGATGACATACCTAAGGGCATATTGCTCTTTGGACCATTAAAAAACCTGTAACTTTCAGACATTGAACATTTCTGCCCAGTCCAAAAATACTAACTAACTTAATAACTAATCTACTAACTAACCAAATTAATAAATAAAGGAGGCAGTAGTGATGCGAAAGAAACTGACAATTAATTATGCCCCTTTTACATTAATTTTGGAACTCATTGCATGAGATGCAGAAAGACAGTGAGACAATAAATCTATTGCAGACAGACTGGAAAAAAAGTAGGCCAGTGATAGACTTTGTTCAATGGAATGGAAAATGAATTCATCATTTAATTACATTTTAATTCAGCATTGTACTTTAATTTGGCATTTAATTTAATTTCAAATAAATCTGTGTTTTATGTTATTTAAATTAAGATGATTCATCAATCGCCTTCTAATCAGCTGTGAACCTAAACAAAAGTAACGTTTCAAATTTAGCTGGTAAGATATGGGCTCTTAAAGCAGCACTATGTAACTTTTGGCGCTCTAGCGGTTAATAAACAGAACTGCACACATCCCGCGGAAGAACATTCCAACCGGAGCTACTTCTCCAAGTTTATGTCTCTGGCGATTCACGCAGGTATGTGTTACTCCGCAGCGGTGACGACCCGACCAGGCTACAATAGTCCAAATATAAGTACTTATTATAAGTGTACCGTAGTGATTCGGAACAAGACAAAAAAAGCGGTTTGGAAGATGAATTCACGATGTACTCGCTCATTATATACATTTTGCAAATTTTGAACACAGAAAAAGTTACATAGTGCTGCTTTGAAGTAGTAGTTTTGTGTATTTTTGTGACTTTAAAGACCCCTAGAGTTAAGTGAGTGGAATTCACTGTTGTATCATATTAATCGTAATTCGTAATTACAAAGGATAGCTACACGTGCATTTATAAAGCTGTCCGTCCTTTTGGTGGAATTTGCCTTATTAGAAGTCAGAGTAGGCCTACCATCAGAATGGCATTGAAAATGATATTACAAAAAAAATAAAATTTAAAAAGTTGCTTTAACATGAATTGCTTTTGTTTGTCAGGTTTGAGCTCGGTGCAGCTCTGTTTATTGGTTGGGGAGGTTCATGTCTGCTTATTTGTGGAAGTGCAGTCATGGGTTATTTCTCTGGGAGAGAGTCATTCCCTAAAAGGTCTGGTCCATTGCACTGTATATATCTACACTGAAATAAGCAAAATAATAATATTAAAAATGTAATGAATATGTAGTTACATTGATAACTCTTTTGTCTTCTACTCAGGTTTAATAAACAACCCAGAAAACCCCCAACCTACATGACAGCGCGTACCAGACGGACGTACATGCTGCCGGGCTCTTCCAGACCCTCCAGACCCACAACAGTCATCATCCCTCCTTCACACCAATCATACAGTCAGAGCAGAGGAAGCAGAGCGAGTGGAGGGAGGAGAGGAACACAAGAAAGCCATTCTGTCAGACCCAGCCTGCCCCCCATAGACTCAGCTGTGTAATCCAATGTTTAAAGAAACGGTATCACACCGTAATACAATTTTTTACAGCATTTATTAATCTAGATTAATTTATTACTATACTATTGATCATTGTTAAATCGTGTTCTTTCCTAATACATTAACTGATGTTAATTTGTATTTCTTCAATTGTTAAAATGTACTAGTGAATTTAGAAATTAACATGCTGTAAAGGTATTCATATATTACATGTTACTGCAGAAATACTAATGTACAGAATGTTTCTCTGTTACCAAAGAAATTATTTTGAAACATCTGCGGGAAAGGGCACTTGTTGAGTGTCTCTAATGCTAATAATTTTTAATACATTTTCTCAAATTCAACAGTTGTGTAAGATAGAAAGATTGAAATCTTTTAAATTTAATAAATACATATTTTACACATTACAAAAATCTTGTCCTTTGATCCTTTGGGATATAGATATATATATAGATATATATATATATATATATATATGCATGCACTCTTTGCATGGCCATTCAGTATTCTATTCTGTTTGGACGCAATATCTGTGCATTCCTCTGTTTATAGCCTATACAATTATATATAACAGTCTTCTCCAGACTAATGGGAAGCACCAGGAGATTGTAAAGGAACGTCGAAGGAAGCTCAATCAAATGACAGATAATAAAACTGAGATCATTTGAGTATTTGGAAATGTTCTTCAAACATGCGCGCTAATAAAGCACAGTCTAATAAATACCACTGGATGGCGTAATTCGCTAAGAAATACTCACTTGGTCTCCTGACTATGTGAACACAGATTTAATGTTAAACTGTAGGTAGTATGATGGATAGTAATCTATACTTTTATATTTTACATTATACTCTTATATTAATATGGAACAATATATAGCCTAGTCAAAATGCATAAAGCGAATGAGTAACATTCTTAAAAGCATACGTGCATACCTAGCACTCATTCCTGTTATGTTGTGTATTTTCATATGTACACACATACATAGGCTATAGACTGTATAATACTAATAATCTTACTATATGATGACATTGGTGACATTTTATATTTTGTATTGAAGTATTAGTTGATTTGTCTCACTTGAAACCATTCCATTCTGTTTGATAAATCTACAGAAAACCAGTAGGCCTATATATTATCAAAGTTTCAAACGATATTTAAAAATTCAGAAGAATGAACTTGACATTTTTCTGTGAGCTTAGCAAAAGCAAACCTGTAGCTCTTTATTCCAATCCTGTCAGGTTCCATCCTGTCATGAATTCTGATTTCTTTCCATCTGGTTTCATGTTAAGTTCCTTGCAGGCATCATTATAGTTTTCTTACTATTGTGTAAATAATCAGGTATTAATAAAGTTTAAGTGCCTGAGAATATTTCTAAATATCTGTATTAGCTATATCGCACAAAAGAAAAGCTCAGTTGTCAATAAAAGTTATGATCTGTGTTGGGGAGTAACTTGTTACATGTGATGGAATTACATAATTTAATTACGA